GGGCACGCGGGGATGCCGGTGCAGCCGCTGGCATGGCGTGCCGTGAGCCTGGCGAGCAGCCCGGCTCCCTGCCGAGGTGGAGCCCTGCGGGAGCTTGCCCCTGCAGAAACACCACGTGGCACCTTGTCGTGGCCGTGGGACATGGGGATCTGTGTCCCAGCAAGACCCCAGCGTGGAAACCCCCAAAGCACAACGGCAAGCGCTCTCTGCAATCGTCTCATTGGCTTTTATTGAGGATGTGGAGGATGCAGGAGCCCAAGCGTCCCAGCCACGGCAGGTGGGAACGGGCGTCAGACGGACACAGGCACGGGAGCGGGCAAAGTGCATCTTGGGGTCACCAGGGACCCACGTCTTGGGGTCACCGGGGATCCACGTCTTGCTGTGCACAGGGACCCGTGTCCCGGGGTGGCAGGGACCCACATCTGGGGCTGCACACGCAGGAGGTTTTGCTTCTCTGGCACTGGGCATGGCAGGAGGGCAGAACCATTGCGGTGGTAACCGTGCCAGCCCAGGGACATCAGACACGCGGGAGGACATTTCTGGGGAGATAGTCCCTGCACATTAATCACTCGGGTAGTCTCCTTCATTAATTCAAAGTCGGTTGTTGAGGTTCTGGAAGCAGAAATAGCTCCTGAGCAGCATTTCGCTATTGTACTCTCCTCTCAGTAAAAATAGCCACGCCGGTGCCAGGGATTTTTTGCAGAAAAAGTGACAGAGGGAGCAGAGTTTCAGGAGCGGGCTCAGGGGTCCCGCACTGTGGTGGGTGCCGGGCCAGGTCCCTCCCAGCTGGGCCACCCTCGGCACACCCAGGGCACCCCAAGAGCAACCGCTGGAAATGGTCTTGGAGCTGGCGGCTGCTGGGGGTCCCCGGAGGAGCAGCCCCTGCCCGCGCAGGCATGGCCTGGCCCGGCCCTCTCCTGCCGGCACCTCTCGAGCTGCGGGTGCCCAACGCCTCTCGCGACAGCACTCGGTGTCCAGGTATGGGACTTCGGCAATCTACCTGCTGGAGCTGAAATCCTCCATGCCGGTGGCTGCCTCCAGCTGAATTACGGTGAAACGTTGGAGTTTCTGAGGCTGAAGCAGAAGACGTTGTTTGCCTCTGCTGAAAAACGCTTGCAGCCATCTCCCTGTGAGCCTTGGCGGCTTGGGGTCTGCAGGACGGATTCGGCTCCCGCTGGCTGCCGGGGATGTGCTTTGTCTTCCCCTAGTGAAAAGCTCCGGGGCCAGAGCAGCCTCCGAGCCGTGCGGGGCGAGGGGGTGCCAAGCGCTTGGTTTGCCACGAGCCTGAGTTAGGGTGGGAGAGAGGAGAGGCCCCGGGGGTCTCAGGCATCACAGGCTGTGTCCCAGCGAGCCCGGGGGTCTCTGCCCATCAGGGGTTTCGGTAGCTGCCCCCCGTGGTGGCCAGTGCCCGTCCTTGCCGGCAGCCGGCCGGGCTCGGGACAAGCCGGGCAATGGTTGCAGGGCTGCTGCTGGCCGTGGGTGGGTTTTTAACATTTCACTCTGTGACCTGGAATGCTCCCGTGTCATTCTTTCAGGCAGAACTGCTGCGTCCCCCAGGGGTTTCCTGAAATAACACCCCCGCAGTGCCAGGGGCCACGCGTCCCGCTGTGCCGGGGGCTGCGCATCCCGCAGCGGCTGCTCCGAAGGCACCACGGAAATGGGGGAGGCTGGAAAATGCCCCATAATGAGGGACTGAAGGAATTGCATCTGCTCAGTTTGTCAGGAAGCAGAGTGAGAGGTGGCTTGAGCAAGGGGTGTCAGTGCCTCCGTGGCTAATGAGGTCTCCAAATGGGCAAAAGACGGGTGTGAGAAGAAGCCAACCCAAGCTGTGGGTAAGTCGTGCTCTGCACCGGGCAGGGGTGGCCCAGCAGCTCTAACTGCCCCGGGGAGCCAGGCATGGGGCGATGCTGGAGCCAGGGGCTGATCCTGCTGCTCCCTGCTCTCCGCCCGGTGCCGGTGAGCAGCTGGTCCCGGGGTCTGTCCTGCTGCTCGGCCGGGGCCACACTGCCACCGAGCCTCGGCCCCAGCACAGTCGCTGGAAATGCTCCCGGGCTGTCGGGTTTGATGTGTCACTGCGATAACAGAGAAGGATCATAATTTAGGCGGAGATAAAAGGTGGTGGGAGTTTTATTATTCAAATATAAAATAACTTCCTCCTTTCAAGCGTGCTGCACTTCCTGGGTATTGTATGGGGATAAATCAGAGGGACACGGGGAGCTGCCACGTGTGTGCTCGCAGGAACCAGCTCTTAATTGTACACGGAGCGGCGGGCGGGGCCGAACCGTCCCGGCCGCAGCCCTGCAGCGGCTGCTAGAGCGGCCCCCCGCCGCGGGGCCAAGGCTTTGGCCCCCCCTCTTCTTGCCCC